ACATAAATATAAAAATAATTAGAACAAATTAATTAAAAATTTATGATATTAATTAATATGTTAGAGACAAAAACATGTTTCAAGAATTTATTGCTTAATAAATATTGCATCATTTTGGAGGCTGATCTCACATTAAAAAAAAAAGGAGTTATCGTATGACGATATTTTGACGATGTCAATATATATAACTCCTTTGATTATGTATATTGATCTTTTAATAATAATCTTTTAATAATAAAAATAATCATTGTATGTAATATTGTTATTACATTAATTATCAATTTTATTAATCTCATCGGAAGTGCTTGTAGATATGTCGGTTTAAATTAAAGTTTATTATTTGAAAAATTAAAAGCATAAATATATACGAGTAAAATTTTGTTATAACTACTTAAAAATATTTAATTTATTTCTTGAATTAAATTTCTCGATTAAAAAATGTTAATCTTTTCGACTAGTAAATAATAATAATGAGATAATGAGAGAATAATAATCATTCCTTTTTTACAGCGAGGCTTACACGCTGTAAGAAAATGAAGAGATGAGCTTACTTTAATTAATTGAGTTCATCTTAACAACATGCATACAATGTGATACATGTCGCCGAAGGTTCTTAGTGAACCATGGCCCTCTTTTTTTCTCTAGGAAATGTCATTGAATTGATAATATTACAATGCCACGTTGATACTTTTCGATCATACTAATATAAAAAGGTAAAAATTATTATTCCGTGATAAAATCATTAGTCAAAATCTTAACTTCGCTGCACAAGTAGATTCACAATGTTTTTCATACTCAATTGTGTAATTTTCGAATTTCGTAATAAAGGCAAGAAGAATATATTATTTTATTTCTTATCTTTTATTAAAATGTTATTTATTAGCCGCACAAATATGTTTTTATTGAAACATCATTTCATGTTTTATCATATTGTCGCTTCTTTGAAGCATGATAACAATGAGTAATCGATGACTGACATCAATTGTTATCTTTCTCATATACAAGATGTATTAAATGATATCTTTATAGTATAATGTGTAAGAAATAAGAATTCTCTTAAAGAAACGTGCACATTTATTTTCACAAATATAAAGCCTAAATTTATGATTCGGGCTGAATCATAAAATCAGGTTGAATCATAAATTTGAAGTAACATTGTTATAAATATTTGCAATAATTTATTAGATTGAGTCAACATTACATTTTCTTAAAAAAATAAGTTTTACACATTATTTCTTTGTTTTTTAATTCTATTTCATTTATTACTTAATTTTATTGAAAACATTATTTTCATTTTTCCTTAATTATTTCTTTTTTTTTGCTTTTTTTGATTTAATTTTGTATTTTTTTATTTTTATTAACATTTTTTCAGGAATCAATAAAATACTTTTTGCCTTTTCTCTCTTTTATCTTTATTGCCTAACTTTATTATTATTTTTTGTTAATTAAATTTTAGTACATGTTTTGTTACGCATTTTGTTACGCATTTTGTTACGCATAATTATCTTTTAAAAGAATTTTTTATTAATTACTACAAAAATTTTTTCTCTTGTTTGCATTATCGTTATTGACAGATAAGTTCCGACCAGCTCGATGGTCAGGAGTTGACTAAACAGCAGCTCGAGTCTGAATGACTCAGAATCGCAATGCCGTTGCCAATCCACTGAGTGGTTGCGCTTACGTCGACGGTATATCTACCGATTTCGTTAAGAATTCATTTATTCTGGAACTGAAAGTCGTCGTGAGAGCCATGGTATACCGACTGCGGGTTTTATGTATCTATCGATCGTAATATCGAAGTTTGACGGTGATTAAATTATTTCTCAAGATACTTTGTGATTTTTTTTTGGACAACAATCATTCAGTCTTTTTGCTAATATTTGCTAATTATCGATTTGGAGTTGCACGCTGCCGTTTTAGAGACCATTATGACTTACTTTTATATTGTGATTGTATTTGTGATAAAAATTATTGTATAACAGATTCTTCAATCTATCTCTTACTGGATTCTTTGCGTGAGTATTCTCGCGATTACTTGAAAACTATACATTACATTAAGAAAAAAAGACTCTGTTACATATATTTAATCTCTATTACTCTATAATGTGCAAAGTTTAAGTTAATTCTTTGTTCTAATCATAATTATATCTTATTATATAAAAACTTTCATATATTGCAATAATATTTGATATTTAAATTGAATTATAATAAAACTCCTTTTTTATATTAAAAGATTAATTTTAAAAGATTAATTTTTATATAAAAAGATTAACCATAATAAAGTTTTTTATAGTCCACGATTTGTAATTTTGGGCTTTGACTTGTGATATGTCATTCACGACTATTATCTTTCTTTTTCTATCTTGAGAAAAAGAAAGATAACTAACATGAACATTAGTATATACTGCCCTAATTATAAATCTTGAATGTAACTATATCACACAGATAATACAAAATTTAATTATCGTTTTCAATTAAGTATCATTCGTGATTTCATTATAGAAACAATAGTTTAGATTATATTACTATAATTAGAAGTTAACTGAACACAGTAGACATTCGTCACGCTTTCTTCATATTTTTTCTACAGATGTTCTAATTTCCATTCAAATCCTATAAAGATTTATATTCAGTGTAAAATACAATTGTACTTGTATTATTATTATATAAAAAATATTTAAAAAATAATTAATTAGTATGGACGACTGCATTTATGTTTGAGTTATTTCGATTGCTTATATGAACAAATATCTTCTGCCATGCGTTATTATTAAATTTAATAGAATGGTTTAAGAGCAAAACGATAAAAGTGCAGTCTCAATCATGAGTCATACTCACAGGAACATATCTCATGGAATCATTTCTTTGTCGTTTATCAAATGTTAAACAAAAACAAACGATCCTCGCGAACGTTAAGTGGAACGCAGACATAGTATTCCAGTCAGTCCGATCTATTTAAGTCGTCACCGTGGACTCGGCATACCTTGTCGACTAATAATAAATCTCTGTTTTACAAAGACTATATACATAGTAATACTAGATTTGTAATGCTATACAAAGCTTGTAATACTAGATGCTAGTTATTATAAAGTAAAACCATTTAGGATCAATTTCATTAGTAAAACGCTTTAAGTCTTTTCAGTTGTAATTTGATTTAACACTTTGGTGATAAAGGAAAATTATTATATTATTAATTTTATATACATTTTGTTATTAGTAATATTATATAGATTATATTTTATTCGATTTTGTTGACATCAATAGTATCTTTTCATTAGAAGAAATAAAATTACATAGCTTGTCTTATCGCAAGCGATGTTTTTAAATAATTGAAGTGGAAGTCAATATGCACCGAGAAAGAACTTCGTACGTAAATAAAATCGTTTAAATAATAGTCATGGCCCTTGAACAAATTGCAGTACAATAGGAAAGTGAATTGCATTTCAACGATCATACGGAATCCAGTCCAAAGTGTTAGTACTAAGACTAAATTTATTTATTTATTTATTTAACCGATTTGTTCGGGCTTGAGGATTTCATTTGATTGAGTTTCGCTTTAGTAGGTTTCCTTTCTCAATATAATAATAATGTCGCGATTATATTGCACAATCGGGTGAATATTGTTGAAGATGGATCAGTTGTAATCGCGTACGAAATATACGTCAGTCGTGTGTCAAAAAGTCATTGCATGTAAACTGTGCAGCGAATCGTTATCCGTAGCGGATGTGAGTCGTGATAAAGCGCGTGGATTGACATCGGAAATGTGGGAAGTCATTCGGAAATAGATTACTTAAAAAAAAAAATTAACGGCATAAAAATATGACTGACAAATAAAAAAATGAATACAATAACCTCTTGAGAAATATGAGATAACAAAATGAACATATGACTTACTTTATTTTTATTCCGTGCTAAGAAAAGATTTAAAAATTAGAGATTTAAATCATCGACGTTTAAAGCAAAAAAAAATTATGCCAAAATGCATTTGTTGTTTTATTATCTCTCATTCTGTTTTCAACAACCATAATAGGTGCTTTGTTACAAACAAAAATCATTTCAGGAATGTCTATTTTGCTCATTTTTGTGTTGTTTCTTTTCTTAGATAACATGTTTTGCAATCTGTGCTGTTTGTTACGACACAATTGCGTGTATAATAAATATGGAAGATAGTGGAAAAGTTTACGCAGAAGTATTGACAAATAAAAAAAAAAAGAAAGAATAGATAGACGATATATTTCTTCTAGTTTAAAGTTTAAATTTGCATTTTATTGGAAAAGTATGTTTGCTTATATATCATACAATCATATATTAATAAAATAATGATAAAATTATTGCAGAAATATTTTTAAAAAAGTGAGTATTGGAAAGTTTTGGAGTATTCCTATATTCAAAATGTTATCTTATAATGTCTTACATCAGTGTCTTATAAGTTATATTACATGCGTATTTTTATTATAATATGCGTGCCTGTATCTTCAATTTATGATTTTGTACGTGTCATTTTAAATGACGAAAGCATCGTTTCGCAAAAAATACAGTTTTTGTAAATATCATCTTGTAAAAAATTGTATAAAACAATTTGAAATTCTTCGAGATTCATTTTCATAAAATGCATGTGAATTTCCAGATTAAATTATTCATGCTTATTCAAATGTTACGGAACTTAAATAGCGCGAATTCCACGAATAATACATAAGATAATCTTGGGTTTCCTCATGTCTGTCTGTGCGAAAATGCGCGATAATTTTATCCTTGAATAGTAGCGTAGAAAATGCAGTTTAGTGTAATTTAAATGGAGGCACTTGAAAGTATTAGACATAGAGGTGATCGTTGAATATGCAAATTTATGCAAGAATCTGAGTAAGAGATATAAATATATGATTAAAAATAATATAAAGTATTAAAATGATATATTATAAAGTATTAAAATGATATATTTATACATATTTTATACAACATAATGCACATGTAAAATATTTGTTATCTTTAAAATAGCCATAAATATTAATGCACTATTTCTATCTTGAGCATGCATATATATTATTTTTTTTTAATTCATCAGCAATTACTTACTATTGTCTAATCAGCATAATTGTAATTATCTCATTCTACCTTTTTCATTAACAGTCGCTGAATTTCGAAGGATTTGCTCTACGCAAAACCTGCATTTGAGAGGAAAGTTCACTCATTAGAGATATTCAAATTAAGCGGTAAGGTGATCTTCAATCATTGTTTGTTCCTCAAGTTTTTTTAACCTGATTACACAATTCCAAAATAGAAATAAGCGCCATTTATCTATCGAGAAAACTGCGAGGAGCACAATTTTAAATTCGGTGTCAACAATCTATTATCCTAGTATTCTAAAAGAAGCGCATTTGTGACAGAATTTAAATGCGCGAGCGATAAAAGGAAAAGTTGGAGAAGGAAGATTGAAGAAGTTTCTCAAAACCTGAGTGCATGTACTGTAGAGGGAGAAGGGAACTGAAGGTAGAAATTGCAGACTGGCGTTATTCTCGAGCAAAGTGTATCCAGCGCATCATAGGTCATGGATTTATATAATAAAGTCTCAAAGGAAAACGCAACTTGTAAGAAAGTTATATTTTGTTACGTTCTCGATTAAATATCAAGAGAATATCTGATAAATATTGACGAAATTGAAGTATTTGTGGTATTAATCTAATATTTATTTTCGAATAGAATATTTTCTCTGTTTATGAAGGAAGACATTGAACTTATTGTTATCACGCGTTCTGTGAATGATTCATTAGTAACTGAGGTATTTTCATATTCATCAACATACAGAAGCCATTGGAGAACTCGTTGCAGAATCAACTGAGATAATATGTATTTTTCTTCATTGCAAGAAGATTCTCTCAATTACGAAGAAAAAGGGACTGTGTTCCATTTCATGTGATTTTTTTATCAGCAACCTCCTAAATTACTGTGATTTAAATCGATTATTGTAAAAGGCAGACCAATACAGGATTTACAGAATCGATAGAAACAATATATAGTCACCGTATTTTTAATTAGAGCGAAATAATCTCTTTTTCTTTGCGAAAAACGAACTACATTGCACTTAACGCTCTGTTTTATGCGAATAATTCACTGTAATAAAGCAACGAATCGATATTAATTACTAACTGACTACACATGAGCCAAACAACGTTTATGTTGAACATATAAATTATTCTCATGTTATATTCTGCGATTATCAACAAAAAGTTCTTTTAAGTCTGAACGCTAAATTTAGTCTAAAAGAGAAGCAGCTGCTAAGTCAATTGCTCGATCAAGGGAAATCGAAGAGACGGTGATAACTATAGAATAAGCGAAGCAACGGAGAGTGAAAAAGGGAAAGTAAGAAAGAGATAGACCGATAGAGCAAAAAAAAAAAGGAAAACGACACTACAACCGATAGCAAACCGATTTAGCAGGTGTGCACATATTCCAAGAAAAAGATAAAGAAAAGAACAGGAACGGTTACTTTAAAGTAACAAGGAAAAAAGAAAGACGACACAGAAAAGAAGACCGAACGAAATAAATAAAGAAGAAAAACGACGATTGATAAAATTTAAAAAAACAAGAAAGAAAGCGGAGTAAGATCAGATCAATAGAAGCAAAAAAGTATCCTTCTCGAAATTTCAAAATGAATAAAAATATTCTGACAATTTCGCAGACTAAGAATTTTTTTGATGAGGAAGCTATCTTGAAGAAGGTACAATGGCGCAATCTCATAGCATTCTGGATCCTAGGTTTATGCAACAATTACGGCTATGTCGTGATGCTCAGCGCGGCTCACGACATTTTACAGAGCAAATTCGGTGAGCAAGTGAGTAGTCATATGATTCTTGATTATTTATCGCGTGAAAAAAGTTGGAAGCTTCTCTTTAAATCTGACAGAATTTTTGGAGAAAATAAAATTTAAAAATTATATCACATAAAATTATATTCTTAAATTAGAATCAATAACTTAACAAATTATTTATAATACTTTTAATATTAAAATACAAATTGAATACCTTTTCATGATTTTCTCTTTTTTCTTGTTTATAAAAAGAAATAATTATTTTAATTTAAAATTATAATTATTTTTTGGATTAAAATTCTAACATTATTTAAGAAAATTACATATGAAAGTGTTCCAAAATAAATATAATTAGATAAGATTAAGTTATCATAAAGTTATATATTCGGAACATTTATTCTCTAATAAATTTTTAAGAGTTAATGGAATATTTGAGATTAATCTTTGAAATTCAGATAAAGATGATATTAAGCTTATTCTTGATGGAAAAATTCTCTGAATTGGTGTACACAATGCAATAAGTTGAAGTGAAACAGATATAGTTCCTTTCACTTCATTCTTATTCATCATGTGTAACAATTCAAAGAATTCTTTGATAAAAAACAGACCTATTATTTTATGGATGATCTCATATTGTTGTCTGTTCCAGATAACAATAGTTATAATAACAATAGATTGACAATAAGAATCAAGTTCATCTCGGTATGAGATAATGTGACCTGTTTTGCTATATTTACAAAAGATTAACATAACAATGATTTGTAATTTTAATTCTCAGAGATCTTTTATTTATTTAATTTTGCGTATTTTTTCTTTCTAAATTTTGGAAATATTCTTACGTATCATTTTTTCTTGAAAAATTCTAAAAAAAGATGAATAGCTATTAGATAATTTATTAGATAATTTATTAGATGTGTGAAATTAATTTTTACCTAATTAATAATTTTTTATCGGATGTAAAGTTATCTCTCCATATTTTCTTGAAAATTATCTTTTATCCATCATTTTAGAAATTAGTTGAACAATATGAGAAACGATAATACATATCTTAGTAGAGCTCGCTAAGATATCTTATTTATAAATCCACTTATCAATCTAGATTTGAAAGTGCAATATTGCAAACAAAGAACATATAAAGTTATTATTATTAAGAAGTTACTCGATTTACTTATTTGGTAAACACAGTAAATCTATTTGTTAATTAATTGTAACAATTCATATTTCAGATGATTAATAATGTACAATTAATTTAACATTAAAAGTTTAAAAATTTTATTAAAAATTTAACATTAAAAATTTAATATTAAAAGTTATATTAGTTTGCACATTCGTTATTTTTAATATAAAAAGTAATCTCGAACATTTGCCAAAATAACCGCAACTGAATTGGCACAATTAATAATTAAATATTAATAATAGATATCATCTTTCTTCTTAAGTCAATCTTTTGCAAATATCAAATAACATAAATGTCAATTAATTTGTTTAAATGTCAATAAATGTCAATTAATATGCTTTGTCTAGTCAATGATATGATTTTAACAACTTATTTATCGATTAAATTCGTGCCGATATACGATACCAATCTGATATGTAATTAAATAGTGCAAGTTCTATGGAAAATTTTCTAACGATTTGTAAATCAATATTATAATTAGCAAATTGCGCATTCCAATTGATTTAATCATTCGGTTTTACGCAGTTTAACAATATAAATTGATAAATTCGCATTATAATGATCCGTTTCTAATAGTGTAATAATCAACTTCCTCTTAAACGAGAAAAATCGTCGTATTTCAATAATTTATGTCATCCGGCCGGATTTCCGAGTGAAAAAAACGTATCATCGATAAAGCAACATGATTACGTTGTGCAATCAGTATTTTTTGCGTCGTATTTATAGTCGACATGTTATGTAAACCAGACAGGTGTAACAAGAATTAATTCGTCACGTGTAAAATATTATACTCGTAAAATATTAACATTATTATTTTTGACGTTTTGTTTACTGCATAAAACAAAATTTACTTTTATATTTTGAAGCGAACTTATTGTAAAAAGAATAAAAATTGAAAGATGAGATCTTTAATATTTGTCCAAAATCCAAAAATTTGTGTAAAGATAGTATTCAAATTGAATTCTTCGGAAAAATCTCTCCTTTTTCAAATACTTTAAAAAATTTTTTAATTGTTTTAAATATTTCCTTTTTAATTTTTATTTTAAATATATACTGTAATTGTAAATATTCTTATGGTAAATATTCTTTTTCTAGAATGACACATCAAGTATAAACGACATGAATGACGAAACATCGACGAACACGACTCGTACATGCAACACGGTTTCAACCGGTGCCATACTTTTGGCAGACATTCTGCCAGCATTAGCAATCAAGATCACGGCGCCATTTCTACCATTTCTAGTACAGTGAGTATCTTTCTTCTTCTTTTTCTTTTAACTGCGTTTAATATTACGAAGTGCACTCTTGTGCATCTTAGCGTTATTCAGAGATTACTTGTCAGAATGAAGCCAGTAAACAAATTATCTTTTATAAAATGCATAATTTTATGAAATAATTGAAGTGATAACAGAACTGAATGTAACGTGTGACTCATTTTTTTTCACAAAATATTTTATTGTCTTCCAGATTCTACGCAATTTTCCTCACGTTGTGAAATTTATTGTATTAATTTAATTTATTTTATTCGAACACTTTTCCGTAAGATTAAAATGTCTTATCTTGACATCTGCAGAGATTCCACACTCGAATGTTTCATATAATATTATAGCTCAAGATGACTGCAATAAAAGTAAAGTGCCAAGATTAATTTACTTCGCGACGACTGGATGTTCTTGATAATGATATGTGCACTCTTAGTTATGTTAGTATAGTTTAAGATAAAATGTAATTACCAAAAGTGATAAAAAAACCGTAACCCACTGGATTTAACTTAACTAGCAATAGTTTAATTTCTAAATACCTTCATTTTTTTCGTACATTTTTTTACATATAATGTAAAAAAATTATCAGTACATTTAAATTTTTATATAAAATAATTTTTTGAAATATTATCTAACTAATAAATTTCTTTTATAAGACATATACACTTTTTAGAAAAAATTCAAGATTTGTCCAAAGTGTACAAATTGCATGGAAAATTAATCGAATATAAAATCGAGCGTGCAATCCGAGTGTTTTTATTCTGTCTTTTTTTTCTCGATATATTTCCTTTCCTCTTTTAAAAATTTCGCTCATCCGGCGCATAACGGAGCCTCGGATATCGCGTAAGTTCTTTCCGCGGTTGTACAAGCAACCGGCCCCAACCGTCAATCGCTAATCGATCAATCGACTCATTAATTACAGTGCTCGACTGGCTACCTGTGTGTTATTTTCCGCTGCAGGATTCCTCATGGTGTCGTTGAGTACTACTGAATGGATCGCCATTATGGGCGTCGTTATAACATCACTTTCCTCCGGCTTAGGTGAAGTTACTCTTCTCAGTTACAGTAATCAGTTCTCCAAGTAAGTGTGTACATTTCATTTGTTACTGTCTATTTGTTACTATCATATTACAGATGCGTTATATTCATTTTCGCTTGTTTGCATTTACACCGGAAACTGAAATCTCTTATAGCTCTCGGCAGAAACATATAGATCATCGATTTAACAGCTTCTTGTTGCATAGAATTTTTATATTAATTTTATTATAATAAATGTAATTTATATTTAAAACAGATGCGTGTATAAAATGAAGGTAGACAATTTCCTTTTTGAAATATAATTTTCTATGTTTTAGAAAGTAATTCTTTGGGAACAGTAGAAGGAATAAAAAAAGACGTAAAAAGTGTAGAATTTACTTTGAACGTATATTAAAATAGATAAGGTAGAATATTGAAGGGCATAAAGTTTTCGGCTCAAATTTACGAGGCAGCATATTTAAGAGTCAGAATGTCATCTGTTGCCACGACGGCGGATATATTTCCAGAATTGTAGTATAAATATTGAAACAGTATCAGAGAAATAGTGATATATAATGCAACGCCAGCGAGTTCAGATCTAAAAGTGTGCATATGAAAACGAAATATAATCGCGCACGATTCATATCAAGAAAAATAAGATAAAAGATTGTACGCGTAAAGATTATTAGCTTGTAGTATATACATAGGTTTGTAATCACGTTTATAATCATGTGGATAACTACAGAGTAGCAATTACGACGGCTAATCATAATCTAATCACTGATCACTCTCTTGTAAAACATAAGAAAACCTACACTAGGAATTATCTTCTAGAAATTATCTGTCTGTCGTTCAAAATGTATTGTCATTTTAGACAAATGCAAAAGCGGAAGAGTCGCGTAATACAAACACTCATTAGATAACGAACAACCTATTTATTAAGCTCTAACGTCAGATGATTTGAAATGTGAAAATTGTAAGATAAGCTTATATTAATTTTAACTTCTATCTCTTAGCCTTTATTTTATCAGTTTCTCAGATGTTTGGAATTTTCTTATCATTAATTACTATTAATTTTCTCGCAGGCAAGTGATCTCGACATGGTCATCGGGCACGGGTGGCGCCGGGGTAATCGGCGCTGTATCTTACGCTGGGCTCACCTTGGTACTATCTATCGAGAATACATTGCTAGTCATGTTGGTCGTGCCATTTTTGCAAGCGGTCACGTTCTGGGTTATCCTCAAACACCCGACGCACATCAGAATACCAATCACTAAGAACGGCATTGATAGTCAAGAACAAATCATCAAGATCCCTGAAAAGAGTTTCAGGGATAAGATTAATTTAGTGCCTGGCTTACTGAAGTACATGATACCACTTGGGCTCGTTTACCTATTTGAATACTTCATTAATCAAGGCTTGGTAATGATAATCCGCTACAATCTTCATATTTTTTCATTATATATATATGTACATATCTTTACTCTGCTTATCTTATTAATTATATACCTACAATCTTTTTCTTTTTGTTACATTATATAATTTTGCCACGTTTATTTATGCTCTTGTTAAATCAACTCAATTTCCATTTTCATTTTTAAGAGGAAAATATAGGAATATCATCAGGCATTATTTATGACTTATCAACTTCATCATTGCGAATAAATTATTTAACTCATTAATTTCAGAAGTCATAATTAAATAAGCGAAACATTGTTTATAGTACGAGCTTGTCGAATTCAAAGATATTTGGTTGACACATTCCGAACAATACAGATGGCTTCAAGTGGATTACCAAATTGGTGTATTTATCTCGAGGTCGTCGGTGAACCTGGTCACCATTAATAAAATTTGGATTATGTCCGTATTGCAGGTAATAAAATTTCTGGAATCAGGAAGTCGAACAAAAAATACAGATTATGCAATCTAAAACTCATTATATTTCTTTTAGTTCTTTAACGTTATTCTCTTTTTCTTCGAGACTCTCTATTATTACATACCAAATATATGGATCGTTTTTGCTCTTGTATTGTGGGAAGGTCTGCTTGGCGGTGGAGCGTATGTGAACACATTCTATCGAATGTCGACCGAGGTAATGATGCTACATCTTTATTTAAGAAATAAGTTAAAATTAAAAACTATCAAATCAAACAAAACCTGCAGAATACAAATTAACAATAACTTATATTAATGTTATAGTTTCCAATGTTACAATTTCAGCAATGTAACTGTTACAAACAACATGTGTTGTATTACATTTATATCGTTGAGTGAAATTAGAATATTGATGTAATATTACCATTAATTTATATTCTGCGAAAAAATAATGCGTCCTCTACAATTTTATAAAAAATGTTATCTAATAATATTTTCTACGACTTAAGATTAATTTGGCATGAAATCTCTTATAGATTCCGAAGGTGGATCGTGAAGCTTCTTTGGGAATTGCGACGATGGCAGATTCTATCGGGATTGCGTTGGCCGGTTGGCTGTCCATGCCTGTTCACAATGCCATTTGTAAATTACCGCAACCGACGCGATTAGGTAGTTAAAAATATCGTAGTGGTTCGTCTGCTACTGAGTGATAACAAAGTTTCCGTAGAAACTTACTTTTAAAAGTTTCTCAACATAACATGCCAGTAATTAGCGGCGAATATGAGGCATTTCTTTTATTAATTTAACGATTGTATATAGGTCAAATGTATGTAATTATTTAATCGCGCGTTCGCAGATCATAAAATTATTAACGTTCCAGTTCGGTTAAACTTTTAACTTTGTGGGAGTATTCGAATCTATGAAATTTTGAGGAAATATTAATAAAGCAAACGTTCAGAATGCAGGCGGCACGGTGATAAATTTTTATATAGTTTACCATTTTTAATATATTTTATAAATATTGATATTTATTATTAGATTTTTCTAAATAATATTTTTAAAGTCATGACCGTCATTCGCAGAAATATTGTAGATTCATTATAAGCGCTTTCTAAGCAGTTTGGATTACAATGTATTACAATTACAAATATCCGAGCTTTATTCGGTACAAACGTTTAAAAGATTAGGAACAGAGCATATTGCAGTACATTGTGTGTCGCATATTAAATATATATATAATATATATAGGCGTCGTAACATATAATACACGAATACCATCTGTGTTTTCGCTGCGGAACGAAAGAATTTCTTTCTCTCTTTCGGAATAACTGTACCTAGATTTTGCTGTACTATAGATCTATTTATTTCACGATATGCGTATAAATTTTGAAAATTGTACTGTAAATCTATATTTCTTCTATAATAATATCTAAATTTTGACTTGTACTGTAGTCTTGTTTAGTGCTGATATTATAGAGATATATTCTGAGATTACTATTAGTTGTTGATCTTTATATCGTTACCATAATATTTCTGATTTTGTTGCGATGAAACGAGATACGCAAGTATTTTCGTGCGTCCTCAAGATTCCGCATTGTCGAGAATCGCTCGTTGATTTGAGGATATCTCAGTATTAATAGCTACTGTAACGAATTGACCTCATCGATTAATTAGAAATAATAACGCACTTGGATTACACCATCTTCTTACTCACTCCTGTGATTAGATATAAAAATTACTAGGTTCGAACTACCACATTTCTACTTTGATATATTGATATATCTATTATTAAGATTATTCTTACATTTTTTGATTAAAAGATGTGATTCTAAGTATTATAGATATATACGTCGATTTTAATAAAGTGACTTAGAATTGTCAGGATAATCAATATTTTTCTGTTTTTGCCTATATATGATTGTTTCAACAATATAATTTAAGAAAGCAGCAAACTTAACATATTATAAGAGTCTAATATAAGAGATATATAACATATTATAAGAGTCTTCATATAATATTTATAATAGCGACAAATATAAATTTTTTTGTTTGTAAGTTTCAAATTGCAAAATTAAAAATAGAATAAATTATGTTGTAAATAAAATATATAAAAGTAGTAATTAAAATATTCTGAGTGATTTGAGAAATAAGAATTAATTTACCAGAATTTTAAGTTGCTGCTCTTTTAAATTGTGCTATCTGTCACATTTAATAGTCCATCGATTTTTAATTCAAGCAATATTTCTTCTTTATGAAAATATCTGCGCCAGCTTCTTAAACCCAGAACTACACACATATATCTGCGAGATCCAACAAGATTTCGTCATTAACATTTTTGAGAATTTCTTTTTGTTTAAATATTTATTTTTTAATTTAGCAAGTTGATTAGAACTTTGATCGTCTGGAAAAAGATTTGTCGAAAAATATACGCTTTCCCAGAATTAGGTATCTATATATATAAAAATATTCAACTGTGTTTGAGAGACTCGGCATATAGTTTACGTGTGCAACAAAAAATGTGTATGCAGTTCTAAGATTAATAATGCGTGACTTTTGTGTGATATTTTTATATCAATAGTACGTAAATAATGAATGTACGATGCTATTACTATTTTTATTTTACTTTAATATAATGATAATGTTACTTTTCTTGAAAATATTTAAAACAAAGACAATTGCGATGATGGATATGTCTCTATTATCTCAACATATAAAACGAGTATTTTATGTTTTTAGCAAATAAATATCTAATAAAGAGAGCTAATAAAATAATAAAAATCTATTGCGCGATAAATCTATTATATATTGTATCCATTTACGTTTGTTGGAATGGCTTTAACAGGAAGATTCTTTTCTTCAAAGATACGATATATGGAAGATTAGCACGGAGCAATTAGGAACTGTATTCTTATAAGCCGTGTGTTACGTGTTTATCTAACACTGGCGTTTAAGCGAGTTGTAGATTAAACATTGCTTATCCGCAATTTATGCGTTATACAAATGTTTCTGATTAATCGCACTTTCTACTAATTATAGTGCAAGATTACGAGGAAACGTCCTGCATAAAAATGTCTTTCCTATAAAAAATTATCTCTCACAAATCGCGAAAAACCTTAGCACATTCTATGTTTTTATTAATAATACTTTAGGCGCTTCAGAAATGAGTTTGATGGTTGTTGCTCACGAGGGCGGTTTATGTTACACCGTCGCCATGTGAATTGTTACGTAATTGCTTCTAATGTTTGCGTAAAACATTTGATTAGTATCTGTGATAGAAAAAATTAATGAGTCCCTCTTTTTCCATTATACAATATCAATATAAATTACCCAAGTAATACAAAAGAATGAAAAATATCACAAAAATATCCTAATTGTGTGGATAATTTTCTCTTAAAATTTTCATTTACATTTTTCAAAGGTTTTTTGCGTTACTTGAGAAGCGATTATTAATTTAAAATCGAAAATAAGAGGATTAAAAATTAATTTACTGAAAATCGTTTTTCAAATTTCTCCATCACTTAATTACGCGCATCTTTCTAAAATGAGTTTGCCGGATTCCTCATATTCTTGACGCGACAGCCACATTTGCTGGAATGAGCCCAAAGAACTGAGGATCGAGCCACCAATCCAAGCACCATAACGTCGCTCGCTTGAGCTATTTGCGCTGATTATTTTCAGTCTCATACTCTGTGAAAATTAAATTATTATAAATCGAGAAATTTGAAATTTCGTAATAAGTACTTAATATCAATTATAAAACGAGTTACCGGTGGGGTTTTACTGGCCAGGTCCCGATTCAGTCTCTCACTGAAGCCCTGAAGACAAGAATTGCCGCCGGTCACCACTACGCTGCCATACAGACTCTGCAACATTAGTGTCTTATTATTTTACAAATAATAATGCACATACTTAAAAATAACGATTTTGCTGAAGTATCTCAAAATTTAGTTAAATACAGATTTGAAAATAGTTTTTTGTTTGAATCAAAATAATTTTGTATAAGATACTCAAACTTGTTGCTAGAATGTTAATTTTTGCAACATTGCTCATCATGTTTGAGATCTCTATGTAATTATTTTGATAGTCCAACAAAGTTATTTTTCGTGAACAAAATTGATTTAAAATGTCTTAAGAAGATTGTCACTCTAATTCAATCTAATCAAAATAAATTTTTTATACATAATACAAATTTGATTGTGAGGATACATACTGGTCTGATATCCATATCGCACATTCCGACACTTGTGGTGACCAGAGGGCCAACTCCTAAAATACTCGCGCCTACACCCTTAACATTACTAGGATCGAAGAGAGCTTCGGGTATCATGAGCCTTATAGATCCGAAATCATCGTTGTAACCAGTCGGAAATTCATAATGCTTCATGGGTAGAGTATTTGCCATATCTTCGTCATAGGGACTATCCGATACTTGTAAACAGTTCATCTGAAAATCCTGTAGCAATTCTCGCACCATGTAACTCAGCCAAGACGATGATGGTTGCGGTCCGGGTCGTTTCGTCCAGCGAGGAGGATCTCTCTCTCGTACTACATCTAAAAAAAAACATGAATTAGTAAGCAGAAATTATACTAGAATTCTTCGAAATTATACTAGAATTCTTTATATAATAGTTGAAATATTGAAATAAATTATATCTTTTAACTTTGATTAAAAATCTGCCAATATTTTATCCTGTAAGAAATAGTTATAATAATCTGTAGTTATATGTCATTGTATAATATATAAATTTCTTCCACATATATATTTAGCATTTTTAATTAAACGTTATTTACCTTTGTTGGCGACAAGACAAGCTGGTACCAGTTCAATGTCTTTCTCCTCGAAGAACTGTCTACATTGCATAGTGATGAAATCGCCACCCAAAGGGCTCTTGACAATTCCTTGAGTGATAACGTAACCATCGTGAACTGGCACTGCGCTAGTGTGTGTGGCACCGCTGTCCACGACCATCGCCGTAGATCTACCGTTTGCATAAGCAGCCAAAACGGCATTCTTGCAGATATACATAGCCGGCACGTTGAACTTCTCGAACATGAGCTCTAATAACTTCTCGCGTTTCAATCTGGTGTTCCACGGACACTCGGTCATTAGGATCGGATGATGCTCGGATAAGGCATGCAATCGTTGCTTGTATGTATACTCAGTCAGTCGTTCAAACATGTCCCAATCGTCGATCATACCGTCCTTCATCAGGCTCACTATCTCCATATCTAAATCAAAACTGGACTTTTCAGTATTACGAAAGTTCTAACAAAGTGAGTAAAATATAAATACTTATTAATAATGTACTTACATTGATTAATTTTGTAAACGGGATTAATTATAAATGAATTATTATTTACTTTAATATTAAATATTTATAATAATCATATAATAATTGTATAATATATATTAAAATTTTAGGTAAAAATATTTTATCACAAATCATTTTTTTAGTGCAATCAAAAGGTAATTCTACGTAAAAAAGTATTACATAAATAAAATTATTTTATATGAAGTTTTGTTGAAATAAGAGAATCCGAGAATTTCTACAGTTGATTATTATTATGTTTTCACTAATCATCGGAAAAAAATATTTATTTATTTATAAGATTTTTATCGTAGAAAGAATTCCATTTTCTACATTCAATTAAAGTTATTAATAACGAAAAGAAGGTTTGTAGGCTTATTAATAATGATAATGTAGGCGTAATAATAATTTATTACGCTATTTTATTCATTTTATTTATTCTTTTTTATTTAAGTAACATTTACCGAAATGTTAACGATTGAAATATCGGTTTCTTTAATTATATTATAGTCATGGCAGAAGAGTATTATTATATGCGTAGACTATCCTTATATGAAATATAAAATTGATAATCTAAAACATTCTCGCTTTTAAAGTGTCATGTCTATTATATTTAATTAATTTAATATTTTGTATTTTTATATTTAATCTTGATTTTTGCAAGTCTGAAAAACTAAAACTTGATAACATACCCTTTTTTCGCACTTGGATAGCCGTGACGTCGACGTTGTAATGCTTCTTGTTGCAATCAATCCCGCTGGAGTCGGCGGGTTCCTCCCACACCCCGAGGGTCGTCGGGATTTCGGCCTTCGGCGTATCCTCGCCGCCATATCCCACGCGGAGGCTCTGGTGTCCGACGTCGAAGATGATAGCACCTACCTCGTCTGGTGTAATAATCGCGGACAACCACGTGGAATTAATGTAGTGTATAAATATATACTTTTTCTAGTTAGAATAATTATGGAGCGCAGAGCACGTACTTACCACCGCCGTAGACACCACCGCTCATAGTATCTGAAGGGAGAGGAAACTTGGCGCATGCCCGAGTAGACTGTTTCACCCTTGCAGTATGTACCTTTAATATGTATACGCTCACACATGTAGACGTGCATACGCACGCGCGCGCGCAAACACACACACACACACACACACACACACACGCGCGCGCGCGCGCACGCACACTGCCTGACTTGAGAGGATTGCTGCATATATCCTCTCAAGACTAATCAATCGTTGGTTACAGCGATGAACATAAGACTGTTTGTAGAATATATTATAATATTTAATTTAATCTTCTCAAGAATAATTGATAGATTCATTTAAAATTAAATCGCCAAATCTCTTAATATAAAAGAAAAAATTATGAAAATAACTGCTGTAAACATTTTTAATGTTTACACTATGAATCAGGTCATTCACCAAATAAAAATCGACTATCAAAGGATGCTAAATAGTTACAAATTTATGTTAAATAATTTTTTTTATCCACGTTTGTAGATGCTTTAATATAGATCCGACTTAACATGTCGCTTATAGAATTAATTGTTCGTTCTTGTTTATATACGCATCGGCACGCAGATTTGGGACGAGCATATCAATTAAATACTCATTATCTTTAAAAAAACTAAATTGATATCAAATGTTTTTTAATAAATAAAATTAATTCTATTTTGCAAGTTGTTAAAATATCTGATCTTCATAAAAATGTATAAAATAAACAAAAAGTATCAATTAACATCATAGAGAAAGAATGATGATAAAATTAATACTTTTGTAAAATTAAAAAAAGAAGTCCTTTTAATTATATCTTATAAAAGCTGTTTTATACTCTTTATACCCTTTTAAACTTAACTTGATATTTTCAAAATAAATTTGCGATTAAACTTGAATGAACGTAATGAAACAGATGGACAGGTAAAGAAACACACAGGCACGAGACGAGCACATTTCCAATATGGAATTAGTGTTGTATATTTTACAAAGTAAATAGAATATAAACAATCTAAAGTCGTCTAAAACACAATAGTACGAATTTCGTGGTAAATCATTTCGTGTGTCGTAAAGATAGACGATATATCATCAACAGGGCGACTCCTTTCGCTTTCCTCCACCTCGCGCGAATGACTTGAGGGCCGAAATAACAGGGAAAGGCATGGGGGCACTTAAACCGGCTGGCCGAAAAATCGTCACCCGAGTATGAACGGTAACCCAACAAGCCAACGGGTGACATGTTGGCGAAAATGATTCGATGGCAACACGTAGTATCGCGAAGATTACGATAACACTCGCGAAATAGTACTCTTCTCGTGTATACCTCAATAATTTCTTAGATTCATCATTATCATTATCATCATCATCATCATCATCATCATCTTTAAGGTCCGTCGATCGTTAATCGACGCAGACTGGCATCGCATTTGCGTTTTCTTCCTTTTCATTTCTTCTTTTATCTGTCGGGAGAGGGGCTGGGTCTCGGATGGAGTGTGACGTACGCGGCAATTCGTGAGCGAAGTGTACAATGTATGGGTATAGTAGTAATAGACAACTTACAGACATTATGTTCGGTCGTTACGTTTACGCTACTTAGTAACTCGTCTACTAAGACTAGATTTACGCTCAACATTCGTCTCCTTTCATTGACGTTGTAAACTTGCTCAGCTTTCGCACAAACTACAGAGACCTGTGATCACTCTTATGACAGATGTCAAGTGTAAACCTAAACTACAATGCTTTTTTCAGTCTCTCACGGATAAGTTAAAACGACACTGACGACAACGACGAATGATTGCGTTACTTTCTCTTTACATAGACATATACGGTAACACTCTTCGCGGAGAAGCGGAAAATGGCGTGATGAATGGATGTTTGATCGAATCGACGAGAATGATTGGAAGACAAGGAAAAATGTTTTTGGAAGTCGCGTATTGCTCGCTTCGATATGCATGTACAAGTGTCTCGCGCCAGAGATACGTACAGTTATCAGAAAACGATTCGGGGTATCTCGGCCGATTATAGATCTCTTCGCAGTCGTTGATCGCTTCGTAATAGAGTAAGATGGCAGTTACCGTTAGACTTTTACAATTTAATTACAGTCGTCGCGCGTTCGCGTCGTATTTTCGCTATTATAATAATTAGAAGATTGTAATGGGGGAATGTGTACGTATTTGTGTGCTTCGGCAAATCGGAGGCAGATATTCGAATATAAAGATTGTCGCGTGGAGGGAAAAAATCCGAGGTGGATATGGATCGCGCGTATAACGCCGCCATTTTTAACTAACTATAGGATTATTACACGGAATACGGAATAAAACGTGGCAGTTAATACGGATCGTCATCGTCGAGACGCTCCGCGGACTCACGGGGACTTCGTTCGCTTCTTCTTTCGCCACGATATAGAACAGACAACAATGTAGAACTCGACCTGGTCCGCTCAAGTACTTCTGTCAAGTACCTGAACGACACGATACATAAAACTTTGTGGTTCCACCAAGCGGAACCAATAAACGGCAGCTTATAGATTCTCTGTCTCTCTGTTAAACTTAACTTTATTATGATCGCAGCGCGTTCGTTCGCGATCGTTCGCCTAATCGTAGCCCTAAAATACTTAAGCCGAGAAATAATCTTGACGTCGGATCGATCTTGCCGGAAACGTCGGTGGCAGTTTACGGAGCATGTGATCGTCGAGCTGACGGACGCGTTCTCGTCGACGTAGGCCGGGAGCAGGACGAAGGAGCACGTGGAATTATCACTTGAATGACTGGCGATCGGATACGAGACGCCAATTCGCATTAACGAAACGACGGACCGCGGTTTGCATAAATCTCGCGTGATATTTCCTTTATATTTTTCTTCTTTTCTCTTCTATTTACTTTTAATGTCTCTTCTTCTCTTTTATCTTACGACGGGATTTCCGCGTACGCATCGGAGGCTTTTACATGTATTTACACCGCGATTACGAAGTCACGGACGTTTCGTTGGCTGTTATGACCGCGATCGAAGTCGCACTCGGCCTCGCTTAGCTCAAACGCGTCGGAGAAGCCCGAGGGTGGGTCCAGCTTGGGGACGAACAGGTTTCCTGATCCGTCACGCTCCTGGTCCCGATTGGCACAGGGATTGCCCGACTGGTGCTTGGGATGGCCAAGCCCGGAGATTGGCCCGAAGTTGGCACGGGCCTCCTCGCTGGTATGACGCGCCAGCTGTAACATCCTGAATGCAAACGGATTTTCTTTTATCTTGCAAATAGTGGGACATGTTTCATTTAGAATTTATTAACAATTAAAGTTAACGATATGGGCTTAAAACCCAAACTTGGTTAATAAGAAGTCTATAACTAAAAGTTGATAAGAATATATATATTATAGTTTCCTGACAGAAAAAAAATTTTTTGAAAAAGTACAGAAAAACTATATAGATTGAGACAAGATCTTAGAAATTCTTAATTTTTCAGATATGGGACGTAGAATGATGTTATTTGAGGGCGAAGAATTTTTAAGTTTTTCAAAGAAATAACGACGCTCTACGTCCCACTACGAATATATATAAAAAAGTAATCATTTTTAAGATCTTATTTCAATCTATGTTTTCAATTTAGGTTTTCATAAAAGCTTGTCCGACAGGATAATGGAAATCTTTGATAACAATCAATTTGCATCGATGATGCACATCTTTCTCAGTTTTTGCTAACCTTCGATTGGCAAAATAGTCAGCCAAAAATGCTTTCAGGCTATATAATATATTTACTATCGGTTTATAAATAACTTCAATGATCAATTTAGATCGTGTATCTTAAACTTAAATGTAATATCGAATTTGACGACATATTTAAATGTAAATCTTTATTTAACTATAAACTTTGATATCTGAGTAAACAATCAGAAATTCAAGAGCATCGTGGAAAAGATTAAAAAGATTAATAATCGATTAATGAGGCTTACTTGGGTCTTCCCCTTCCAGGAAACGATTTTCTCTCAAAAATCGGTGAGGGTTCTGTAGACGTGCTAGATTCTGGTCCATGGTACAGGAAGTCTGTAAGCAAACACGTTTTCCCTTTGTCTTTTATATCTAATTCGCCGAAAATAAATAATTAATCACACTTTCGCGGTGGAAACTTCATCGTGGATCTACGTTGTTCGATGCAATAACAATCGGTTCGTGCGACAAGACTGCAACCAAGGAAGCGTATATCGCATACACATACGTGCATCAGACAAAATTAGGTCGGGAAAACAAACGTGCACGCGTTACCGTGATCGTCGAACTTCTATGTTTACAATATCAACAGTACGAAAGTGCTTGCAACTAGAAGCAGCGGAAGGCGCGAGCCACGCGAAAATGGAAATCGGAATATAGTGCTTATATATAAATATTTACAATATAGGATTTTTCGAAAGCAAAAATTATATCGTAGGACTGAGTCTCCAACGAGAACGCACTGATAAAAATTTTAAAAAAGGAATTAAAAACTAAAGTCTTCTAATCCGATAAGTTGCCTTCTATCCTACTGCTACACTCCTGAGAATAAGAGAGACAGAAACACAGAGAAAGAGAAAGAAAGATAGAAAGAGAAACAGAAAGAGGTGAAAATATTGCATACTGTGGACACGCGAGTCGGCCGCAGATGCCGAGTGGTGCGAATCGACGAGGTGATTGGAAGACTCGGTTCGGCTGCTGGTCCCGACTTCCGTGTCGCTGTCCGAGCCCAGGGTGTCGTACTCCTCCGACTCGGACTTGCCCTGACTGACCTTGTGCGCTTTGTGCAACGGCGCAGAGGACGAACGGCCTCCGCGCACCTTAGTGTACCGGTTGCAATCCGACTGCAATCAGACGGAATTGATTTCTATGAGATGGTACACCGCGTGTCGCGCATCCACCGCGATCTCCGATCACGTTAGTGGATCTGTGTCTACCGGATCGCATGAGAAACGATCTCAAGATTAGAGCAAAATCGATGATCGTAAGTACATTTCCGCCTGACTAGATTAATAATTTATCTTGTCGAGATTGCTACATGTATTCAAGCGAGTCGATGTATCGCGGGAATCCCAAGAATGGAAGATGTTCGTATACGATTTGCTGATCATGAGTCAAGCGGAATCTTTAGGTAGTTGTGAATTAAAAAAAAATGTTTTCTTGCAAAAATATAAATTACCATATATTTAAATCTATTATTTATACGTATTTTATGAAAGTAAATTTCTCTTATAATTTATTATAATCAATAAAAATTTTATTTTAGACCATACATGTTCTAATTTTTATTATAATCAATTTTTTATAGGCATTACTCATTTTTACTAAGATGTTATTCATTATTAAATTGAAATTAATTAAAGACAGATTAATTTACTATTAATAGTAAAAAAAAATAGATAAAGCTATTTGCTTTTTTATTATGAATTTCGAAGTAATAGTTGAGAAATGTACATTTCGTGTTATTCTCTACTTAGTTGTGAAGGGAAAGAGTAATGAACTTTCACCTTCTCTACAGAAACGCTATTCTACTTCATCGAACTAGGAGTCACGGAAGCGATGAATCATGAGAGAGTCTTTTTTTATGCTACAGCTAGTAAAGCTATGACGAGATTCGGCGACAGATGCATATGTGTAAATGACGAACGATGTTCGATAAGTCTAGTTTGTTGTAATCAATATTTTGATTCACGAGTCTCAGGACAATTGCGAAACGAAGTGAAACGATGGGACCAGCAGTCGCAACAATGTAACTTGCAATGATACTCACTTAATCGATGTCACGAGCTCGTAGTCGAAAAAAAAAGGAACAGAGAAATCCACGTTTCCGAATTGGAAAAGAATTAAGAAAGTTCGCGCGCAAATTAAAATTCGTAATATCACATGTATTAATCGCGCGCGAAACAAGAAACTTGGAAAACTCATCTTGAACATGCGAGTGACTTATAAGTATTCGCATAGAAGATCGCTAAGTATTCCGATTTATGTCGCAAGGATAAGAGATATTCTCGGTGCATTGATCGGGGTACGCATGCAGTTGTCGCAGGTGTCGAAGATGTAACGAAGCTGGGAATGTATGAAAGTGAATGATAAAAGCGGTGACAGGTTGTCATGCTCACGCGTTTCTTCCCGCACGTTTTACACCAACGTTTTGCTTGAATATAAATGCATAGTTTTTATAGAATCCAAAATCACGATTTTAATTATATAGAATTGTGACTTTTTGTAATTTATATTTTACGTCAATTTACAATTTTATATTTTATGTCGAGAATACTTTAAATTGCAAAAAATTTAGACGCTAAAGAATTAAAAAATTTAACTAAAATTTCTTTAAATCCAGTTTATTGGATTTAAGTTAGAAAAAAAGATATTAGATGTGGATTGCTATTTTGGCCAAAATTGCATGAAATGAATTTGTTTCAATCTCAAAAAAAGAAATCAAGAAAACGAATGATGAAACTAGAGAATTAGAGATAAAAAATAAAAATATTACACGGTCGGAAATTATACGGGATAGAAACGTGCAGCGAGAAAACGGCATTTCTAATAACATAAATCGGTAGACGATACCTCTCGTAACTGAAGGGTATCGGCAGTGGAGAGACGAGGGTCGTGATAGACAAAGGTCTGAAGAGGCGCAGCAGAATTGCAGCGACTGTCGCCTCCTGCAGGAACACTTTCCTCCAGCTGGAACGTGGCGTATGGGTAGATATCTTCCGAATATTCTACAAGCATGTTTAATGTCGTTCTGTTAATAGTGATCCAGGCTGCAATCGTTTGCCCCTTGCACAATCTCAATTTCTCAGAGAGATAGAGGGAAACAAAAGGAAGAAAGGGAGAGAGAGAGAAAGAAAAAGAGCTCTATCCCCGCATTTGTTTTATATTATTATCGATTTTTTACAGAAAGAACGAGTTTGATTTCATTGATGCAAATTGGTCTGCTTATCTCACCTGGTATTTTCTCGAGCGTGGCCATCTCGTGAATCGGCGAGCGTAGCGGCTTACGCACGGTGGCGTAATACTGTTCACGCTGTTCCATATTCTGTTTATTGTCTAGGGCGGCCGCAGTTTGCGCGTCATGCAGACTCCCGATGTCGCCCATAAACGGACCTGTAATTAACATCTTAAGATACAATGACCACGCTTTCAAAATTAAATAAGCGAGATTAATTCTTTTCAAAATTGACAATTTTTTTTACAAAAACTTCATCATTTGTCGATTCTATTAACGTATTTTAATGACTTTTATTATCTATATTTCTTCTTGTGTGTTTTACTTATTATACTTATTATACAAATTCTTTAACTACAATTTAGAAAATTATATGCGCATGTGACAGACTAACGTTTGCGAAAGCAATAGAAGACGGCACCGGCTGCAGCAATGACTGCGAACGAACTTAACACCAAAGGTACGATGAGCTTTAGATCCGAATATACGGAGGTGTGTTGGGGAATATAATGATCGATCTCGATGGCGGACATGGTCGTGCTAATGTGCGGCTGCAACGTCGTTATCTTGTACTCAGCCACCGACGAGCCGGCATTGTTGTGGGCTCTTATGCGGATGTCATAAGTGGTCCCCGGCTGCAATTCGCTCAGAGTATACGTCTTTTGCACCTGCACAATATATAAGTTGCATATAGGTCATCATAATTCCATACATGAAATATTAAATTGTCTTTAAGATAAATTGGTATCAATATTATAGCAATTAATGATAATATTATGTTTGTAAGGACAATATTGAAATGTCTACATTGTGAAAGAATTTATGTGACTAAAATGTTTCACAATAAAATATTTATACACATCCTATATTTTGTGCTATTTTATTTTTAATTAAATTTCTTAAAAACCGTTTTTCCATAGTAAGAACATCAAATCATTGATAATTTTTAAGTTCGAAATAATTGAAATTAAACAATGATATAATACATTATATTTCCTAATTTAGTTAATTTTAGGTAAAATTTTGTTACTAGAATCCTTTCTAGAAAAAGATTTAAAGTGTAATATATTATAAAAAAATACAATGTTATATAAAGATTGGAAGCGACATTTATTGACATCTCTTGATTCTTTTTGCAAAGAAAAAATTGACTGAAATTGGTGATAAATTGATTTGGAAAATTTTTACTTTTATAATTTCTATAACGCTTTTAGGGAAAGATAAGTAACTTTTTTATTGTGTATACATATATATCTAGCAAAATAAAATCTCTTCACATTCGAATACCTCTATATTATTCGAGACCAGCGTCCAGATACCCTCGCCGCTTTTCCTGTACTCCAGTTCAAAGAAAGTTATGGGACACCCTCCGTCGTTCCACGTGCTGAGATGCAGGGTGATCCATGAAACATTAACCGTAACAAACTTGTCGCCAGTTCCAGGCGAGTCATCCGGCTTGGAGCCCTTCGTAGTCGCCTTGACGATCTCGCTGGGTCTGCCCATGCCGATGCGATTATACGCCGTCAGGTACATCTGATAGTCATTACCGCACCAGAGTCGTGACAAGACGAAGCTGCTCACTTTGTGCGACACCTTAAACTCCTCCCACTCGCCAGACTCGCGTTTGTAATGTAAGATGTAACCGCGAATCGGCGAACCGCCATCGTCACCGTTCTTCCACTGTACATTAATTGAATTGCTGCTGGTGCTGGTCGCGTGTAATAATGGTGCCGCAGGTGGAACTGAAAAAGACAAATTTTGAATTTATAAATCGCTCCCTATAATATTGACTGTAAATTACAAGCTTTTAAAAAAAATTTATTTACGGTCGAATAAAAATTAAATGTAAATATTAACATTAATATGTTAATTATTAGTATTAGTTTTGTATTTAAAATGATAGAACAGAGTACATAAATCAAAACATGTAATAATAAAAATAAACAAACATAACATTTAAATTAAATTATTTAGAATTTAATAAATTTAATTAACTATTAGTACATATATATTATGTTCTTTATAGAGATCACCCAATTTTTTATTTCATTAATTAATTGTGACACAATGAACTTTTTGTAATTAATTTTTCAATAATTAATAAAATTAAATTATGTATATTACTGATAATAAATCATGTGTGATTATTATACTAAAATGAAAATTGCGTTTACCTTGTACGGTTAAACGATGAGTTATTTGATCGGAGCCATGGCGATTCTCCACGAAGCAAGTGTAATTTCCGCTATCCTCTCTATGAAGTTCAGTGATCTGCAAAGATCCATCGATATGGAGGGACACCCTGGTGGATGGCTTGACTATCTGACCCCATTGCTTCCAAATAATCGAGGGTTTGCCTACGCTTTGACAAGGCAGCGTTACATCTTGCTTCCACGGTACGATAAGCGTGGTACCGAACGAATATATGGCGGCGCGTACTGTAATAGAGTAAGTCGAGTGAATCCTTATTGAGTGCATAATAGTCGTTGTTGATAAGTTAGCTTTTACCACGCGAAGCAAACTTAGAAAGTGTTTCATGACGGGAAAGATTTAAAGTTTGTTATAAAGAGTTTGCGAAGACTTTCTGCTGAGAAGCTGAGAAGAAAATAAAAAGCGCGCGACTCATTAACAAACATAAATACGGCACTCGGTATGTCATTACCAGTTGACTGTAGACAATTTATTTAGCTCGAAAAACGGATGTTTATACGATGGGCGAATCGTTTCCGAACGACGCTTGAAAACGTAACTTTCGCAACTAGTCCAATTTGTGCGCCGAATAGCAGCTCCAAGTTTCACGACTGCAGTAAAGCTGCATATTTTCGATGTACCAATGTTATAAATTACTCTTTCGCGTTCTCGTACAATCTTCTGGATATCGAAAGTACATAGAGTGTGAAATGTATATTGACGAATAAATCTTTGTATAAATAAAATAAGGTAAATATCCAGAATGTAGACTCCGTTTTAATACACTATATTTTTTAATATTTAGAAATATATGTTTCCTCTTTTGAATCTGACTATAAGTTTTCAATTTTATACATAGCAAAAATGTAAATCCTACTTAAAAATTTTAATCTTAGTTATAAAAAATTTAAAAACATAGCAAAGCTCAAGTAGATCATGTAAGAGACGATGTAATCTCGAAACTAATTTGAAATAAAAATAATCTTTTTACCTTCACTGGAAGGAGAGACCGTAACGGACGGGGTTTGCGGACCCTCGCCAACCGAGGTGACCGCCGCGATCGTGAATTCGTACTGGCTCCTCTTGTGCAAATCCTCGGCCTGATAGCTGGTCTGATATGGCGGTAGGGCTCTTCTATGCCACTTACCCTCCGATCCCAATCCACGAATATGTACATTGTAGGAGGTGATGTTGCCATTACTTTTCAGGGGTGGTTGCCAAGAGACGATAATGGACGTGGCTGAATTGACAACTGCTTTGACACCAGCCGGCACCTGCGGCAGATCCTCTTCGGTTACACAATAAAGGGGTGACGAGGCGACGCCATCGCCAGTTCTGGTATACGCCAGGACTTGAATCGAATAATTCGTGTACTTTTCCAGGCCATGGAGTCCTACAGTTAGTGCAGTAGTGATCTTCATCTCTGGTTTGACAGACTCCGTCAGCGCATCCATGTTTTCCCACATGACCTTGTAACCTTTCAGGATCCCGTTCAGGCTGGAATCGGGCGGAGATTCCCAGGAGACTTGTAAGGACGTTGATGAGAGCGCGGTGCATCGCACATCCTGAGGAGGGCTGCTAGGGACTAGAAAAATTCAAAGTTCCATTCAAAGGTTTTATCTTTGCAAAGTAATCCATCAACTTTCATATTGCAAATATCTTGTATCAAAATTTCATATGTTATATGCGTATTATGTACATAATATTGTTATTTAACATTTATATGTAATTTAAAAAGTGATACTTGTTATTTTTTTATAAGATTAATAGATTATTATATTTTAATATGTAAGAATAAACAAATTTAAATATACTAGAAATGAAAGTAGCGCAGCAGCTACTTTAGTTATGCATTTAAAATAAAAGAATAATAATCTAATATATATATATATATATATATATTCACACGTAAATATTTATCCGTATGTTAATTTCAATGAAAATTATGATATTGCTGTGAATTGGATATATTTTTACGATAGTGATAATTTAGGAAATACGAACAGTGCAGCTCGTAAAACTCGTACTACATTTAAAATATCGATATTCGTCGTATATTCGAGCGCAATGTGACTACGCGAATATTTCAAGAACGAGTTTAGGAGGAAAGTTTTTAAAGAGATACCATTGCCGTTGTAAGTCGCGGGGATGTTTGCCTCTCTACGATCGAAAATATCGGAGTGCTTGCACTTGAAAGTTTCGTCGGGTCCGCCATTCCCCGGCGGGGATAAGATTAAAGAAGTTATTTGCGAGCACGGGTGCCGCATCTGAATTTATTATTTATCCGGGAAGTCGTGCAGCCACGGCCGCATGCGGTCGGTATTCATAGCGGAATTCGTGATAGGCTCGCGAGAAGGCGCGAATATTATTCTCTTCATGAATTTTTGAAGCTTCTCGGGTCGAGTTCTGACGTAAAAATAGCCGTCTAGACGAGAATTTCTCTCTCGAACTCACGAATGCGCCGATCGATCGTATCAAATATGTTAATTCTGTTGGCGTTCAATGTGCATATTTTCGTCGTTGTTCGATTCATCGGAAAACCTACGATAAACGTGTCACTTCACCGAAATAAAGTTTAATAAAATTAATCTGGACCAAATTTAAGATTTAAGATTGACATTTATTGCATATTTTCATCGTTATTTTAACTATTTTAAGAAATTTGCAAAATGATTTAGAAATTGTTTTTCATTTTAGCGAGACATTTTTTTAACAAAAATATAAATCAGAGCATAAGTCGAATGTAAAGAGATAGTAATAGAACAGTAATAGAAGCATAAACGAAGTTTCTAGGAGGAGAAAATTGAGATAACGAAATGTAAAAGAGGCGTTTACGCTTACATTTGATTTATACTCCGATTTATATTTTTATCAGAGCTGTAAAAACATGCTTTGCGGTGTCCTTGACGCTTGCCGAAAATGAATCGATTGACGGGGCTTTTTTTCACGGTCGCTTACCGTCCTCGAGTGTTGATGCCACAACTTCCTGAGTCATGGGACCAGGTCCGAGGGCGTTGAACGCTTGAACCACCACGCTGTAACGCGTGAACTTCTTCAAGTTTGTCAAGTGATGCTGACGTCCCGGCATGGATGTTCTTGCCAAACCCAGAGCGACGCTCGCTGTCGAGATCCGTCTTTCCACAGTTTTATACGTATATTGCTCCGCCCCCAACCTGAATTTCATGAAAGTGTTCGTTACACCTGGTTTGTATAATTAATTAGTTCGTAGAAAGGGTGTCAAGTATCTCCTTTTAACCTTAAACTTTGTGTAAAGTTTCGGCGGCGAAACTTACTTGATATTAGATTACTGTGTGAAAAATATAAAAATAATATGGATTTATGTGGATGACACACGTGGCAGAAATCAAGATAAAAAAAAATTATATTATAATAAAATTTATTATAATTGAAAAAATATATAATATATGAGATAAAGAAACTTCATCTTTTGAATAAATATTCCAGAATATGCAGTTTAAATAATAAATAAGTGAGAAGTGTTATGCGAATTGTATATTAAATTAAATATATCGATTAAAAATTTAATAATAGAGACAAGTTAAAAAGTGATCAAAAATAGAAACACGACGCATAAGCTACATCATCGAATTTATAATTGACCTAGTCAATGTAATTTAGCATTCTAAAAAGATGGAAAAAATTTATATCAAATTTAACTGGTTCGTAAAAGCATCACAACAAAAGCGCACTGAAGCGATGTAACAAAACGCGGTCGTAAAAAAAAGCCTATAGTTTTTCGAGGATTTGTCAGCGTTGCCCCAGGCGGATAAATAACTGACCCCGAGATAGCTCGTCGTTTATTAATGGCGCGTGAATTCTACGCGGTATCAGCTCTGTGGGCTGAAATACAGGAAGTTGGAATTCTGTGTGCGTGCCTATATGTATGAGCGCGCGAGGGAGGAAACAAACCCCTATCTGTCGAGGTACGTCGTTAAAATAACGGTAGTGTTTTCGGTCGTTACCTGTGTTCCTTGTAGCCGACATGATAACCGAGTATCTCGCCGTTCCATAAATCATGATCGGGCGGATCCCAGGTGACGTTGAATTCGGTCGAGCTGATGGGGTCTACTTTGAGATTTCGTGGTGGTCCACCCGGTTTCTCTCCCTCTGTTGTTGTTTCTAAAATCTGAAAAGCCATAAAATCTTCTTTTGAAATCTTTGGTGAATCCATTCACTTTCGCTGCGTATTCTTTTTTCCCATTAATTGTTACTAAACTTTTCAAGTATTTTATCATTTTTGTTTGTAACGAATTTGAATTACAAAAAGAGACGATCGGAAAATAAAGACGGAAATTAAATTCTTTTGTGAAACTGACATGGATTCAGAAATCGTTCAAAAAATACATATAGTGCAATATAAAATCCGGATGTCAGCCGTCGGTGTTTAAGGAAACATGTGAAACGCAGATCGCAGTTGGGGAGAATCTGCGGGAACAGAACGAATTTGGCTGGATGCATTTCGATATTTCGCTTCAAAGCATTGCGGCGGATGTTACGCAGACTGCATCCTTAAACGCGCAAACGAATTCTTTTCTGGAAGAAAAAAAAGTGCGAGAGGGGTCGAAAGAGCAGCATGGAGCGCAATTTAAATCCAGGCCAACAATGCAGCCGCACATCCGTCAAGAGACGACAGAGAGAGGGATAGGTTTCGAGATGAGATAGTTCTTTTTTTTTTATGCGCGCGGAAAATATCGATCGAACTCGATTCCCATCACACCCCGGTGTTCCGATTGTTTTAATTCTCGAGGGAGAAGGGGATGACCGACTAGTCGGCGAGGAATACGATCGTCCGAGGGTGCGATTTGACTTGTAAATGTTCGGCCTGGCCCCGATACCTACGTCGCTCGCTTGACTCCGACCCAGTTCGTTGTCCGCGTACATCCGAAACTGGTAAGTGACCGCTGGACGCAAACCGCTCACGTGGCCGCGAGCACGTGTTCCCGGTACTGTCGTGTGGAACGTGTGGTCGTGCCATACTTCTGCAAAATTGAACGATCATCTTGCGGTAATTTAATCCCTTGGGTCAAAGAAACATCGATCAGTTGAAACTGCTGTTATGTTTTTACCTGTCCACAAGCTGTTATCAGCTCTTTTAATATTTTGAATTATATACTCTGTGAGCAAAAACTATCCGAACTTTATTTTTTTTTAAATTGCGGGAAAACTGTAAATCAAATCTGTTTGTTTTGCTACACATGTTCTTTATATTTAGTAAAAATGAATCATAACATTCTTTCTCCGTTGGAGAATGACAGTTGTTTATGTCAGTAAAGATTTTTGTGCGTGGCACACTTTTATCGTAACTATCGAGCAAAGAATTTGTTTAAAATTTTGCGTCGTCATAAACGAATTGTTCGTTTATGACGCAAAATTTCAAACAAATTCTTTGTTCGATAAAAATCGCCATTGATAAACAATGTCATTAAATTGTCATTCTCAAACGGCTTGAAGGAACGCGGATTTTTTTTAAAGTTCGAATACTTTTTATCACAGTATATGTATATTTATCCAGAATATAAATTAGTTTAGAATATCTAATTCTGCAATTTAATTATATATATTTATACAAATAAATTCTCTAAAGAAATAAATACTCTTGTTTGCAATTTGCAATCAAGAATATAAAACCAAATGTGAAATACTTAGATATCAGATTTTTATTAACATACTTTCAATTTTTATTAATAATTTTATTTATTATTATATATTATATATATATAAGAAATAATTTATTAATAAATTTATTAATAAATTTAATCTATTTTAAAAACTCTTTTTTTTATGTTAATGTTCTCCTAAATATAAATAATATTAAATTTGTAGACATTACATTTTTCAATTACCTTAATTGCTACGATGCTTACCTGATTCGGTTTTGTACTCGATTATGTATTGGGTAATTGGACTGTTCCCGTCTTGACTAGTCGTCCAGCCTAGATTAATGTGACGACTGCCTTTCTCGATCACGTGAAGATTCCGTGGAAAGTCTGGAGGCTCTATATATCAATGATTATGTAGAAGTCTCTTTTAATTTTAAAATGCTATCACTATTGAGTGGTATAATATTGCTAATTGATAAGTAAATTTTACAAGAAAAGGCCTTCTTATTAATATAACACAAATTTTTCCTATATTTCATTCTTTTAATAACAAAATATTTATAATTTAGAAATATAAATAACATAAACAATATAATATATTATAGAATCGTATATGTGATAACACAAACTATAGAAATCAAAGCCTTACACGGTCTAGTTAGATCTTAAATGCTTGTATGATTCTTGTATGAATTTATATATTACGTATGTAATTCTTAGAAATGCGCGCCGAAATGATTTTTCGATCTTGAAACACTAACCAAATAACTACCGCAGTAATATTAAATTGACTAGCAATTTAACAAATTTTTGATGTTTATTCGCATCTTCGAAACAATCTTAATATTGTAGTTAATTCTTATTGCGAAAAATATTATTATCTCGGCCGAGAGTAGAACTCGGATCTCTTGCATTCCGTGCGAGCGTCCTTTAGACTATAAGAATTATACAAGCATTTAAGATCCAGCTAGACCATGTAAGGCTTTGATTTCTATAGTTTGTGTTATCACATATACGGTCCTATAATATTAGGTAGTAAAAAGAAATCCATTATTTTTGCATGAAATTGAATGGAAAAAAAATGGATTTCTTTTTACTACACCTAATATATTATATTGTTTATTTACGTCGCTTAAAGAAGATGTTCCTTCATATACCAATTATTGCGAAGAATATTACTAAGGCCTCGGTAGTCTAAAGTTCCATTTACAACGCTCGTGGAATTATTTCATTCTTGTTGTTTATCAAATGTTAAATAAGAATGCTCGCGAGCGTTGTGAGCGTCAAATGGAACCTACCCTTATTATAGATATAATGCTGATATAATATTGACCATCAGGGGATTCAAACTAATATATAACAGACAGAATTTCTAAAAGCTTCTCTCCGCTTTTAGTATGATAGATTAAACCTCCTAATGATCATTAAATAATTTAACGCTTAATGATCTCATTCAAAAATTTACGTAACAATAACATTCTAAAATTAATGTAAAGTCAATATTAAACTTTTCAACGCTTAAACAATTTTCTTTTGTTTACTAAATCCGATTTATAATTAGTATACGTTTTTCATTATTTTAATGTATGAGTTTTAAGAATTTTAAATTAACTCCTTCCTATCATATTCATTACGGATAAAAATTTTTATTTATACTATGTGCATTATCTGCGATCAGTTATTCTAATATGTATTATTTTGTATGTATTATTTTGCATGATATCTAAAGAGGCATTATAATGCTTTTATAATAGCGACGGTATTATCTAATAAAAGCTTGACTGATGCAGATATAATTTCAACATTTAACACGCTATTTTAAATAGCGTCAGTCTGATTTTTGATATAACCTCTATTAAAATGTTTCACCGCGTGAAATTACAGTTGGACAATTAGTTGGGAATTTTCGGCTAATTCCGAGGCATAGTCCATCGTGTATCGCGTCCTATGGAATAATTTTCAGTTATGGCACGATTGTCGCGTACCTGCATTATGCATATTTCACGGGTTATCCGGCGCAATACGTCCGCTCGAAGCGTATCTCATTTTGGAGAACACATAGAGAGTGCGAGCCACCGGCTCATCTGTCTCTCCGTGCGCGTACTTGCACGGACGTACATTAAATTAAATGGACGCGCGTTGTCGAGTGCCTGTATACATTACGATAATTACATTCAGCGAAATAGCGTTACGCACAAACAACCGACCGACTGACGCCCCGAAGGCATCATCGCGATAACTCGCGTCGCAATAATTTCATGAACTTCATTGACTATCTCCTACCTTCGACAGAGAACAAACGATTATTAAATGTCAACGTTAACACGGAAATATCATTGTTATTTTTATTGCAACTTTTTTCTTGTTGCTATGTTGTTATTATATGTCCTTCTGTATATTAATACTATCTTTCAAGTAATATTATCAATTAATGTGTCTTTGTATTCGGTGCCGATGATTTTTCAAAGCGCTTCTATAGTTTCATAGTCTAGATAATAATTTATAAAAGTACCTTGGATATAAAGATGAATCGTCATCTCGTCGCGGCCGTAAGCGTTGGACGCGATACAAAAATACCTTCCACTGTCCTCGCGGCTAGTGCTGACGAAACCGAGAACGCTAACGGCGCCGTCGGTAGTGTTATCCTCCTTAAGGGTATAACGATAATCAGGAAGCTTAGGATCTAATTGGGAACCTGCTTTCTTCCAAACTATTTTTAAAGGATGGTCGCCTTTCGCTTCGCAACGTAAAGAAGCATTCGACCCTAGCCTCGCGGTCTGATTACGATGCTTCTCCACAAAATGTGCGGGAACTGTATCAAGCAAAATAAAATTCTATTTATAATTATATAATTATATAATCAGGTATGGTGCATTCTTAAAACGCATATTATTTTAGATTATTCTAGAACACAGTCACATTTAAATAAATTCTATTTGATAAAATTAAATTCTTGAGTTATACTTTGAACAAACCACCAAGTTTAAAAAAATTCTATAATTTTGTATCTCATAAATTTTTATACATATATATGTGTGCTTCTATTCTAAAGTGTTTTTCGTACAGAAAAAAATGATTTTGCTAAAGTATTAAATAATTTAGCTAGATACAGTCCTGAAAATAATTTTGTTAAACCATCAAAATAATTATGTAGAAATAATAAACATAATGAGCAAAGCTGCAAAAAAATATTCTAGCAATATTCCAGCTTAGGCGAATTATATATTTATATAATTCTTTTAATGATCCAATAAAATTAGTATCTGTATCTATATAAATTTTTAGATGCTTAACAAAATTGTTCTTTTTGTGCAATGCGGTATAAAATTATATATAAAATTCTATCCTGAAAGATATAGGTCTTTTAAAATAAGATGGCTAACAGAAAAAGAGGCAGATCAAATTGGCAAAAATAATTACAGAAAATGAAGTA